CTGTGCTTGTCTGTATGTTTTACTTCAGTAAGGTGGTCTTCAAACTCTGATATCCTTTCTTCTGCTTGGTCAATTAGGCTGTTGATACTTGTGTATACTTCACAAAGTTCCTGTGCTGTGTTTTTCAGTTCCATTGGGTAGTTTATGTTTCTCTCTAAACTGTTATTTCAGTTAGCAATTCCTCTAGCCTTTTATCAAAGTTCTTAACTTCTTTGCATTGTGTTAGAACATGCTTCTTTAGCTCATTGTAGTTATTACCCATCTTCTGAAGCCTACTTCCATCAATTCATCCATCTGATCCTCTGTCCAGTTCTGAATGCTAGATGGAGAGACACTGCAATCATTTGGAGGAAAAGAGGCACTCTGGCATTTTGGGTTTTCAGCAGTTTTTCGTTGATTCTTTCTCCTTTTTGTGAGTTTGTCTTGTTTTGGTCTTTGAGACTGCTGACCTTTGGATGTGGTTTTTGTGGGGGCCTTTTTGTTGTGGTTGATGCTGTTGTTGTTGCCTTCTGTTAGTTTTTCTTTCAGTAGTCAGGTCCCTCTTCTGTAAGGCTGCTGCAGTTTGCTGGGGGTTCACTTTAGGCCCTATTCATCCAATTCTTTCCCAAGCCTGGAGATGTCACTTATGGAGCTGGAGAACAGCAAAGATGGGTGCTTGCTCTTTCTTCTGGGACCTCTGACCTCAAAGAGCACCAACCTGATGCCAGTAGGATTGCTCCTATATAGGGTGTTTGACAACCCCTGTTGGAGGGTCTCATCCAGTTGGGTAGCACGGGGAGCAGGACACCTTTAATGAAGCACTTTGTTCTTCATTTCTTGGTGGAGAGGGTGTGTTTCACTGAGGGTAAACCCGCTCATCTGGGCTAACTGGATTCTTCAGAACTACCAGGAGGAGAGGTTAAGTCTGCTAGTCCGCTATGGCCACCCCTCCCGCTAGGGGGCTCATGCCCAGGGAGATCTGAATTGTGTCCCTGATCCTCTGGCTGGAGTTACTGGAAATCCTGCAGGGAAGCCCCACCCAACGAGGAAAGATGGGTCAGGGTTAGTTCTGAAGAGGCACTCTGGCCACAGACTGCCACAGCCGGTGTGTTGGGCTGTGAGGACAAGTCTTGGAGCCAAGCTGTCCAGTCTCCCTGGCTCCAACAGGGGAAAAGTATAGCCTGGAGCTATAGAAATGAGTGCTGCCCTTCCCCCACCCAGGGAGCTTAGCATGTTAGGCAGTTGTGAGTCCCAGTGCTGGCTGCTGCCTCTCCCCCAAGAAGCTCAACTGGCTTAGACAGCAGGCAGCCATAGCTGATGTTGGTCGCCCTTCCCCCGGGGAGTTCAGTTAGGCTTAAGCAGATTCCAGCTGAGAGGCTGTAAGCATTCTGTGGTTAGGATGCTAGGCCCTGGTGGTGTGGGTTCACAAATGGGATCTTCCGATCCATGGGTTGCACAGGTCCATGGCAAAAGCATAGTTTCCGTGGCTGGGTAGCACTGGTAGCATGCTTACTCACCACCTCCCTTGGCTGTGGGGAGGAGGTTCCCCTTCCCTGTGTGGTTCTGAGGTGTGCCGCTGTAGCACACTGTTCTTCCTTCTCTCTGTGGGTGACACCAGCCCTCTAGTCAATTTTGAGGAGAGAACATGGATACCTTCGTTGCTGGTGAAGGATTCACACACTTATTATGTTTTTTTCCCCAAAGGGAGCCTCCGAACATTGTTGCTTCTGGTCGGCCATCTTGGCCCTGCCCCTACCCTAATCTCATTTTAGGAAGACTTTTCCATATTTGCCTGCTGATGATTTATTACTTCTCTGCTTGGTAGAATTGAAAAACAATCCCTTTTTAACAAAGTTTGATTTCTTCATTTACGTTCAAGAACATTGAATTCTACTGATGTGTGTTGATCCCTTCTCTGTGTTACTTGTGTTCATAGGAGTCACCTCATTTCATTCTTACCCTCACAAGATAAGGAGAAGTTGGCCCATTTTTGCAGAACAAGGAATGGAGTCTCAGAGAGGGCAAGAGCTGACACAATCAAGAGTTCAACTGAGATTTGAAGGTAGCCCTTCTGATTCTAAGTCCTTCCATTGCAGCCTAGCTGCCTGCTTCAGACATAAGGTACCCTATGTACTTAAAAGAGCCCTATACAGCGTCATGTGCACATGACTAAGCCTTGCTGGGGGAAAGGATACCTTGTGAAGGTCTCTACTGCATGGAGGTTGGCACAACAGGCAGGCTCACCTGGCATTTCCACCCATGCTTGAGACAGGACACCAAAAAAGGGCACTTCTTAAAGAAATACGGAAAGATAGATCCAAGGGAAAAGGCATTTAAGACCTTGGAGTGATGGAGCTGTTCTCAAATTAGGTTGGGAGGGTGGTGGCACAACTTTCATAAGTAGACTACAACTATTAAATTGTGTATTCTATGTTGGTTTTGTGTGCCAACCTGGCTTGGCTCTTAGTACTCATGTAGTTTATGTCATTTTCTTTGTTACCATTGTTGGAGTCACTGGTTTTTGGAAACCAGGTTGGAACATGTTGGGGAAATCATCCTTCCCAGGCCTATCCCTCATCTTTTTATTACATCTTCTTAGCTCCCTCGCACCTCCTCCAGCTGCTGCCTGTGCCACAGGCGCCTTCTCCTCTGCCACTCTGATGAACCTCAAGGTGCGGTTCCACTTTCTGCTATCATTTCCTGTGGGTGGATGCCATCAATCTCATCTCCTGTGTTATAATGAACCTATAGCCCCCATCCACTCCCAACATCAAAATATGTCTTAAGGTTAGAATTTTGGTGCTACTTCTGATTTCTCTTTGACTGCTCCTTCCTGTGCCCAAGGTCTCTCAAAATTCCTTAACTGAACTTTCCATGGTACTCAGTTCCATGCCAGAATGGACTGCTATACTAGGAAACCTTTCTTCTATTCTCTATTGGGAGATCAAATCTATGCCATGCCCTGTTTTCATTTGATCTCTTCTTCCACTCTCTGACATTCATACTTAAAACAGTAAGAATAAAAACAAAGAATTAAGAAAGAGTATGGAAGCTATCGATGCAAATTAGCACAGGCTTACAAATTTGGGGGTCCTTGGGCCATGATTCAACATAGAAGAAAAATTTAGCCTGACATATAAGCATTTTCTTAGGCATCTGGACAACCTCTTCCCTCATCAACATGCCAACCCTGCCAAGTCTAAAGAAGGGGTCAGTTTTGTAAAATCCTTATTATGCAGGAAGAGATTTCTATTCAGTTTCCCTGCAAAGGCAGAGGTAAGTTTCCCAGAAGAGCTGGTTAATTTCTTTGCTCACCTCCTTCACTCAGTGAATTCAAGGAAGTGATAGATTCTTGGGCCTCTGCCCACACATACAGGTGTAAGGACAATGGATAGAAGAACCAGTTGCTTTAAGTTCTTAAGAAAACGAAGACACCACAGCATCACTTCATAGATGATTTTTGTGCCTTATGCCATAGAAATCTGTATGTCCTGGATTTTCCAGGACAACTCCAATTTCAGATATATTTATACTTGTCAAGTCATAATTTCTTACTATTGGCTAACAAAATATGATCACCTTGGTTACAGGTGAGCCTGTGTTATGTGAGGTTATTGTCCTAACTAATTTTTCTTGGATGGCGTCAAACATGACTGAGTTCTACCAAACTGTATACTAAATGAGTCATATTATTGAGATGATACGGTGCAGTTACCAGGTGGTTCTGCTAATAATTAGAAACACATTTCTATATTTCATAGGATCAAGGAAAGGAAAACATCACCAGGAAAATGTTACATGTGGGGACAATTATTCAATAGGCCCTTGGCTGGGATTTGTGGATATGAACATAATTCAGAGGTAAAAGTAAAATACTGGAATAATACATGGAGGTTTCTTCTATTGGTGCAGAAGTACAGAACACCGGAATCAACATGCAGCCAAGTCTTGAGTATTCAAGGAATGATGACCCAATTTGTCGATTACTAAGACTTTTCCTCCCTTTTCTCATTCTCATAGTTCAGTGATCCTCAAATCTGAGTAATATATTTCCAAATTAAGAATTTAGGATTAAGAAAAAAATTTTTTAAACTTTAAAAGGCTGTGGTGTTTCTTAAATTATTTGTAAATTATTTGGAATTGTATTAAAATTTGCACAAAGCTAAAATTTAAGATTCAATTCAAATGCTTTTATATATGTTTGTTTTAATAAAAATAATTCACAAAGTAAAAACCATGAAAACCACAAAATCAATAAGTTCAATATTAACAACATTAATTTACAGTGATGGATGATGTTTTGCTGAAACAACAGGGGAAAGTGTAATCTTCCCATGTGATCAGGAGCAGTGGAGAACCAAATACTGGAAATCGGTGTTGGAGATCTACAACTTCCAGCTCCTCCACTAGGACATAATGCTTTTTTCCTAGGGGTCTGTCGGCCCCAGCTTGGGGAACACTGCTTTTGCCATTTATGTAGAATTGATTTTCTTCTCCTAAGATCTGCCAGGGAAAGGAGACAATGTGAAAACAAAATCCACCAGATACCCTTGTTGTTGCTAAAGGGAATTTAGGGCTATTTGTAGGTTTCAATTAGATACAATTTTGACCTCCTTTCTGGTTTCTCATTACCATGGCTATTAGAGCAGGGGTCCCCAATCCCTAGGCCATGGACTGGTACCAATCCATGGCCTGTTAGGAACAGGGCCACACAGCTGGAGGTGAGCGGCAGGTGAGCGAGTAAAGCTTCATCTGTATTTACAGCCACTCCCATCTCTTGCATTACTGCCTGAGCTCCGTATCCTGTCAGGTCAGCGACAGTATTAGATTCTCATAGGAGCACAAACCCTATTGGAACTGCATATGTGAGGGATCTCTGTTGGGTGTTCCTTATGAGAATCTAATGCCTGATGATCTGTGTCTGTCTCCATCACCCCCAGATGGGACCATCTAGTTGCAGGGAAACAAGCTCAGGGCTTCCACTGATTCTATATTATGGTGAGTTTTATAATTATTTCATCACATATTATTAATACAATGTAATAATAGAAATAAAGTGCACAATAAGTGTAATGCACTTCAATCATCCAAAACCATCCCCCTCTTCTGGTCTGTGGAAAAATTGCCTTCCACAAAACTGGTCCCTGGTGCCATAAAAGTTAAGGATCACTGTGTTAGAGCATTATCCATCTATTGCCTCTTCAAGATTGTCTGCCTACTGCATTGGACTGGCTATAGCACAGCAGGCAGACACATGCCTTTTCCAGAGACTCCCACATTGATTTTTGAATGACAGGAACACATCCATTAGGCCTGCCTTACATTGTAAGTGGATCCACTTGAAGGAGCAGCCAACCCATGTATTGTGATGTAAATGGTGCTGTTCCGCACTCAGCACTTTCATCTTCTAAGTGTTTCACAAACACTGGCTAATTAATAATCCTCTTTTCTGTGCTGCCAGGGAGGAGTTGTAAGGAAAGAGCGATGGGTGGCTTTCCAGATAAACACATGTTAATTTTTTATCCCAGGCTAAGGGGAAAGAAACAAACATATAGAGATGAACACTTACTGTGTCTGCCACTGTGACATTCATTATTGTATTTAAACATCACAACAATCTTGGCAGGCAAAGACTCTTGGCATAAAGGTCTTATCACCATTTTTACAGATGGTGAAATTGCAGCTTGTAAAGTAATTATAGTGAGGGATGGAGATAGGATTTGAACTCATGTCTGTTGGTTTCCAATGCTCACACTCATTCTGCTAATCCACAGTACAAAGAGTGGAAGTTTAGCATTTCCACTGTATTAGTCATTATCATTATTATCAACAAGTATTATTATTTATATTTAATGACCATAATATTTCAAATTTATGTAACCCTAATCTTTGGGACACTTAGAGTGCTATGCAACTATTCTGCTCTTGCTCAGTTCAGAAGTGGTGATATTTGGATTTTGTATTAAAAGTCATTTTGGTCTCATTCTTGTTTTAAGAGCAATTTTTCATGGGTTCAAACTCTTGGACTTGTGAAAATCTGGGATTGAAAACAATGTTTGCTTTGTTCTCAAAAGTCATAGCCATGACACACCAGATGTTCTAGTCTCTGATAAAAAATTCTTGTTAACTTTTAATAGAAGAAAATGGACTGGTGGTTAGGACACATCTTTACTCTTTTTTTTCTATTGCTTACAAAGACCTGGGACTGTGGTTTCTCCTGGCTGTACCACTCACTTCCAAGCACTCTGAGTGCTTGGGAGCTATTTCCTGGGTATGGGGCCCATTGTTCTAACCTAATTTTTACTGTTGGATCAAAGAATATCTGTGGCCAAATAATGGTCCTATTGCTAGTCACTCTTTTGTCCACAAATGAACTAGAGTGAAACCGTATCTTGACTGCTTTCCTTTTTAGCACCCATTAGATAAGCAAGCGGGGCTGTTGAGAGGAAGATGTTAACTGACCCCCAAGGCAGGACCAGGTGCTGACATCCTGCTCTTTCAAAGATGATGAACCAGAGAATGCTGTGTCACTGCTTGTTCCATGCCCTTGCTGGTACCGGCAAGTGGGAAAGCTGGGATTCAAATCCAAGTCTGTGTTTCCAAAAGCCCATGTTGAAGCTGCTCTTGTTGCTGGATTTACTGAATCTCTGTCACATGTAAGTATTTTACATATTCAATAAATTGTTAATTTTTTTATGGAGTGCCTGCTTTTGTCAAGTATTATACTATGCTAGGTGCTAGGAATATAGTAGTGAAGGAAATAGCCAGATAAATGAATTCAACCTTCATTGAGCTTACATTCTCTAAAATACATATTTTTAAAAATTTAATCCTAGTAACTATTTTATGTATGAATGTAGTTATATGTATACACACATATGCATGTATCTACGTATACATATATGCCTGTGTAGTTGTCCTTGTCCTTGTTTTGTACTTGAGAAGAATGCGGTGATTTATTCACGATTGCATAGTTAAGGATTCTAGAACTTGAATTTGAATCCAGATCTCTGAGTCCTAGATATTTCCACATTATGACACTGTCTTCTATTCATAAAATGAATTGAAAATAAGGTTTTGCTGTAAAAGGTGGGCTCAGTTTTAGGGAAATAAATAAAAAACCACCTCCTTCAGTATTCCCAATGGTGTGACAGTTTGTGTGCCCTTCAACAGATTTCCAAGAGTCAGGCAATGAATTCCTTTCTGTGTATTATTCAGCATAATAAACTTCAGCTGGATGATCACTTTTATTTGTTATTTAGGAAATTGCCTGTGTTGTATTATCTGTATTTGGCAGGATCCAATGGAGAAAGTGAAAAGTGTCACTGAGCTGGGCCACAGAGCTGGTTATCAAGGGTAGTCTGCGAGGTCAGAGGTAAGCTGATACGCGGTGGTAGAATGAAGTTCACGGTGCTTTGTAGTTCTCCCTTTTTCTTGAATTACCATGATGCTGACATCCAGGCTAAAGTGCCATTCTACGACCTTTCCACCACTTCCCTCTCAGAATCACTCAAAAGAAAATAGAGAGATGAGAAAGAGAGGCATGAATTTATTTTTTGATGAAACTGGGAAAACAGGTTACCCCAAATCACAATGTATGAGAAAGGGGTGGCAATGGCTGTGAAAATCAAACAGGAATGTGGAGAGACTGAGAAAGTCTGCTTCAGCTGCAATGTCAGACAAAGCTGAGGGGAAACAGTGGGACTATCTTGAAGACCCAAACCAACAGCCTCTTGTTTGTAGCCACTGGGATGAGCATGTAGTCTGACTGCAGACATATCTCTGGGCCTCATCTAGCAGAAAGATGAAGCTCAGTAGGCAGAACTGAATGAGGAAATCACCCAAACAAGCCATAGATGTAAGAAGTGGCCAGTTGGCAAGGAAGAGTGGTCGGGCAGGTGCGGTGGCTCACACCTATAATCTTAGCACTCTGGGAGGCCGAGGAGGATCACTTGAGGCCAGGAGTTCGAGACCAGCCTGGCCAACATGGCGAACCCTGACCCTATTAAAAAATACAAAAATTAACCAGATGTGGTGATGCATGCCTGTAATCTCAGCTACCTGGGAGACTGAGGCATGAGAATCACTTGAACCCAGGAGGGAGAGGTTGCAGTGGACCGTGATCATACCACTGCACTCCAGCCTTGGTGACAGAACAAGACTCCTTCTCAAAAAAAAAAAAGGCGCTCTCTCTCTCTCTCTCTTTCTCTCTCTCTCTCTCTCTTTCTCTCTCTCTCTCTCTTTCTCTCTCTCACTCTCTCTCTCTCTCTCACACACACACACACACGCATGTATACACATAAGAATTCTGAAATAAGAATTTTTGTTATCCTAATACATAGCCCTGACCCTCCCCTCCCAAATTTCTGGCAAATAGCTGGTCCAGGAAAAGTTCACTTCAATCAAAGATAAATACTATCAAAAAGGTTTCATAATATGATATATATGCATACACTATGAAGGAGTGGGGAAGGAAAAAGGAAAGGAAAACAATGGATAGTTGATGGACACTCACCAGAAAGAAAAAGGTTCTCATGGAGCTGGTGGTAATTCTGATCAAGCTCATTGCCTTAATAATTTTAAAAAATAATATTTCTGTGAAACAGTAGCTCAATGCAGAGATGCAGTAGTTCCATGAAACTGGGCAACACAATGAAAACGATGAAATATAACCTGGAACAACTCGTGAAAATAGTGAAAGAAAAAATAAAAGCCACTGAGAAATTGGAATACAAAGGCAGACAAGAGTGAGAAAGGCAAGCAAACGGTGTGCATTTAGAGAGGATGTGACGGACAGAAACGATGGACACTAGAGAGCCTCACTTGTGTCTTTAGAAAGACCAGAAAGGAAGACCAGAAGGACCAGAATGAAGGAACAGAGAATATATTTTAACATCATAATTAAAGAAATGTTTCCAGTAATAAAAGACGACTTGAATCTACACATTGAAAGGGAACACTGGGAAAAAAAAATGACACAGGACAATCAACATCCAGCTGTATCCTGGTAAAGGGACTGGCTTCCCATAGAAAGCCTCTGGGGCTGGCAGACAAAAAGATCAACTCACTTGTAAATAAAGAGACCTTGAGTTAGTCTCAATTTGCATCTGTTTTCCAGCCATAATTATGTATTGTGTTCTCCCTCACTCTCAAAAGTGTCATGACTTACACAAAAAAATTATAGGATAGCCTTGCTTAAATAAGGAATATGAGAGGTGAAGAAAAGCATGGCTTTAGACATCGCCACAGCAACACAGCAAATAAACAAAAACTCCTGTGAATCCTCAAAGTATAAACCCCCCAATTTTAGATTTAATACTTAACCAAATAGCCATTCAAATAGAAATAATCTCTTTTTGGTGTGCATGAACCAAGGAGCATAATTCTCCTAAGTCCTTCTTGATTGAACTGCTAGAAAACAAACTTCAGCGAACCAAGAAGGAAGAGGAAGATGTGTGCCAGGTGTGCCCCAATTTAAAATCATTTCTTTCCACCTTTCCCAAGATATTCCCCCTCTGTACTCCCTACTTCAGTTAGTGATATCCCAAAATCTGATTGTCTAACTGGCAAACTGGGATTTATTCTAGTCACCCCATTCTCTTCATTCCAACGTTTCATTAGTTGATAACTCTTGTCAAACTGTAAAACGTTCTCTCTCAAATCTTTCCTCTGCTTTCCATCTCTATTGTCATGCCTTAGTTCAGGTATGAGTCATTTGTGTTTAGACTATCGCAATAGTATCTTAATTGCAGGAGCAATTTTAAAACATTTCACAACCGTTGCCACACAGGTGCTGAGCAATTAGAAAGGACACCAGTCATAAACAATGGCCCAGCACACTGGTGCTCATCAACTGTCTTTGGTCCTTGCCTAATTGGTCTCCTTGCCTCTAATATCTCCAATCTCCAATCCATCACCCATATTGTAGTTACTATGATTTATCTAAAGCCTAAAGTTGATCATGTCACTCCGTAAGTTTCTTTTAGTTCCGTTACCTGCAGTATAGATCAATGTATGAAGTCTAAAGTCTTTGGCATTGTGAACAAAGTCTTTTAGGACATAGTCCCCACCTAATTCTTAAAGTTTCAAATTTTAACACTCTCACATTCAGTGCCCAACAGCCACTCTGGACTTCTTGCCATTTGGTAAATGCACCAAAGACTCTTTGAGATTCAAGTGTGTGGTTAACATTGTCCTACCTGGAACAGGAATGGAATGTACATTTCCCTAAAAGATCCAGATTCTGGTTCTAGAATCACATCCGAGTAAGAGAATCCACATGGGGTAAGTTCCAGGGCTGAACAACCTCTGCAACAGGCGACCAGCCAGAGGTTGCTTCCTCCTCATTTCCTTCCCATTTTGAGTTTTCTCTGTTAAACATCCAGCCACATTACATTATAGACACACTTCATAATTCTTTTGATTAGTTGACTGACAAGAGAGTCCCTAAGGAGTGGATTCTGCCAATGATGCCATTTTCTGTTGTTTGTAACAAATCAGCGGCCTCTCCCACATGACAAGGCAGAGCTGCCTCTGGGAGTCCGAACTGAGTCCGCTCGTTCACTCATCCAACAAGCATGTGTTGAGAACCTCGGTCACATATGGGGTTGAGACTGATGCAGTCCCTGTCCTTATGAGCTTTCTGTCTAAAGTGGAGGGAGCAGCCAGCAGGAAACAAACAAATGAATGCAAAGTGTGACAAGGGCACAAACAGAGTTTAATTACGGAGAATAAGAAGGGGAATCTGCATCGCAGGTGGTCACTGGAGGCCTCCCTCGGTAGGTGATATTTAAACTGAGGCCTGAAGGATGAGAAGGCAACAGCCATGCAGAGATCGAAGGGAAGAGCGTCCTACTAGGCAGAGAGCTAGTTTTCATTGAGAAAGTCAAAAACGCAGTGACTTTTTCAGTGTTTAGAAGCAGCATTTCATCCACTTCTGTGAGGAGGGCAATGCGTGTGATTTGAAGATATCTGTACCCTCCTAGAGAGAAATGAACTAATCCAATTTTAAGTACACTTGTGAATACTCTGGTTGAAAAATCACACGTAGGATCCAGTTCTCCTAAGTTGCTTTGTGAATTTCCCTTCGCATGCCTTTGTGTTGTCCTTCCCGTCTGGAGGGCTCGCTACTAACCTCCTCTACTGCAAAACTCCTGCTGGTCTTTGGAGCCCTGGTCCAGCCCTGCCTCCCACGAAGGAACCCTCTCTGACAGCTCCCACCCTCTGTCTGGGTGTCTTCTCCAAGCCTCTGCGCCCTATCTTCTTGAGTGAGCTATCGTCTATGTATTATTTTCTTCCATGAGTATACATCTCCCTCCTTTCCTGTGATTTAAGAAGAGACGTCAAGTCTTTGTGTTCTAGCCTGTGATTCTTCACCAAGTGTCTGACAGCTCAAGTTTTAACATTTGTTCAACAAGCAATTTCAAATCAGAGGAGACTGCCCACCTGCCTCAGGAATTCTATATAGCCAAAATCCGACAGAGCAAACAGGATCCTTTCAGTTTTGAGGTTATTTTTATGAATGAATTTGAACAGATGGATATATAGATCAATATACACAGAAAAATGAACAAAAGTCATATGCCCTCCTTTAAGGGAATAACTTAGTACACATTCCATTTAAACAAAATCTATAGTAAGAGTTCCTCAAATAGAACTCAGGGACCAGCAGTTATGAGAAAATTGCCAACATTAAGAACAAATTCCAAACTACTACTCCAAAAAAAGAAAAAGCAAAGGTCCACTCATTTTTACAGTACAAAAATTTTATTTTTTTGTTAGGATAATTTAAAGTTTAAAACTGAAGTAGACATATTCATTTTACAAACAAGATATTCTTTAAGTAAGACCATTAAAAACAGTAAACAAAAAAGCTGTCTTTACAAAAAGCTCTGTGCATAGCAACTTTATACTGTATATAACTGACAAAGCAAAACAATAAAATGAAACTATACAGTTTGAAAATGAAACCTTACTGTACAAAAGGTAGAGAAGTTAATGGTTTTTAAACCATGCATATTGAAATGTGCAAAGAAAAACTGAGAAGAATTACAATGCTATAACAAAAGAATGAGATAAATAATGAAGTAAATTGTCCCTTTAAATGAAAAAAATCTTACACAGCTCCTCTTACAAACATAGGATAGATTTTCTAGTTACCAATAGAAATACTCGTATTCCAAGTGGCACAAAAATAACTTGGGACTGGAATGATTGAATAGCAATGACTAACGAGGACAGGGTAGCTTTGTTTTTAATTTATTAGTACACTAAAAATAATCCTTACACACATTTGTACAATTAAATAGCTCTGTTGCTGCCAGGGTTCTAGCTGAATGGTCAAGGATGTCTGGTATTTAGTTACACGCATCTTTCGGTGTAAAGCTACCAACAAATTCTACAATCATTTTGAAGACAGTACTGCACTCATCTTCATGCAAGAGGAAAATTCACAGGTTCTAAAAGCAATGCTACTTTAAAAAAAAAATTTCCTTATGTTGGATTGGCTCAAATCCAGGGCTAAACATGCTTAATTTTGCTCTGCCTTCACTTTTGGAAGGTAACGTTCGTATTCCACACATTCTTCCCCTTCCATCAATCAGGTTTCTCACTGGGGGACTTTTTCTCTTATGTTTCTGTGTATTTTGGCGCATTAAGCCCTGACTATGAGGGACTGTCAGCAGTACTTATAAGCATGCCAGGTTTCTAAAACCTTGAATTCTCATGTGCATAGAAATAGTATAAGTCATATTGGGTAATTCCAGAATGGGTTAAAGGCAAATAAGACAGTTGGGGCTGGATAGGTGTGGGCCTGCCTCAGTGGGTCAAAGAGAAGGTATGCAGAATTAATGAAGTAATCTAAAATTGGCTCAGATGCACTCATGATGTTTTTCCATGAGTGCTGCATCTATTTCTAACGCTGAAGTCCCAACTAAGATCCCCAAACTAAGTCTGTGTATAGACTCTACTGTGGTGCTCAGGAGTCAATAAGGAGAACCCCAGTGTGGAAACAAGTGACATCCTTATTGGCAATCCAAATATGCCTGGATGTGTCTCTAGGATCACATAGGCTTTCAAGAATCAACCACTGTTAGCAGCTAAGGCAAGGTTCTTCCCTTCTAAGAGCTATGAAGAGCCCATCAAAGGGCTGGGTAACTGTGCTGCATGGAACACCGACGTTCCTAATCTCAGGATGTCCCAAGAATCTGGTCTTGCCTTTCTTTGAACATCAGAAGAGGGAATTAGGGCTTTTAATATCCCTCTCGCACATCCCATGTCATTCTTGACTAGAAACAGTGTTGAGTGGGATAGCTGTTTTTCAAGAGACTTTCATGTCATAAAAGAGGAAATTTAGAAAAGGACTTGGATGTTCTAAGACTGACTCTAAACAGTCCATCAAACACAGTTATCTTCTCCAAACCCTGTTTCTGAAGTTCTATGGGGCTGTGTACCTCTGTACTGAACCAGGCAGCCAAAGAGGAGGGAGTGGTGGGGTTCTGGTGAGGAATTCCCAAAGGGTCCCTTGGTTAAGAAAGTCTGTGGTTTTGGCTCTGCTAGAAGGTGAGACGCTTCTTTCCTTGGGATGCTGAAAGCCTGAGACACACTCAAAGATAGGAATTCTCTGGATTGCTCAGGAGAGAATGTTGAAAACTAATAATATGAATTTTTAAAAAATATTCACAGACTGTGGACTATTTAGAAATCAGATGGAACTGGGAATGAATTGATGGGTTGGAGTATTTGTGTGTGCATGTGCTAGAGTCTCTGTTTCTGCATTAGGTTGTTCTGTGGGATTCTACATGTTCTTGCCCTTGGGTCAATAAAATGATGGAAAAGGAGGGGGTGCAGGACAGGGGATAAGAGTCTAGTAAGTAACTGCAGTAATAATCACACACCTTTAAAACTTGTTACTACATGTTTGCATCATTTTCATTTTACATCAGGAAGAGAAATCCCTCTCTCTTCCAAAAAAAAGGTCTTAATTTCTACCTCTACTTACAATAAGTTACACGTTTATTTATTTAAATAATTGTAAAACATTTTAAAATTTTTCCCTTTTTTTGTTCATTTTTTTTTTTAGAGATTAAGCTATAAGCAAACACACATACAACATTTCATCATTCAATTCAGGTTGCGTTTTAAGAAAGTCTTCCATGCTGGTACCCTGTTTTGTTCAATTTTTTTCTGCATAAACTAAATTGGTATCTGAAAGGCTTCATAGAAAATAGAAACTTTCAACTTTTCTTTTCCTACAAAGAAAAACAAATAGTATCCAAAATATTAAGCATTAATTGTTTGCCAATTTTTTCTTAAATATTTTACAAACATAGGAAGGTGGTTTTCATAATGTTCGTAACAAAGAATTGCATTTCTGCTCTTAGCACTGACTACGTCAATGACACCTTTTGTCCTTGTCCCCAAGAGGGTCAGTTTGTGTAGCCACCGTCAGAGCTATAGGAGGACGTGGGACCAAGTAAGATGCCGGCTCCTTGCAGACCCAAGGGTGTCCATCGTGTTCATGTGGGGGCACCACTACACCCCCGTAAGAGCTCATAGTGCTTTCTTCATTATTGGTCCATCAGAGTAAGTAGTTTTGTGCTATAAGAAAGCAGTTCTTCTTTACATCGGGGGTACAACAAGTCCGGTCATGGCTGCAAGGAAAGAGTGGCACAGGAATGAGATTTGGGGACCTTTTATGTTCAAGGCTATGACACAGAGTGAGGGGCAGGGGATGGGAATGATAGAGTCTGATGCCATTCAAGGACACAGTGCCCTCAGCTGATATGAGGACCGGTTCTCCTAGCAGACAGCCCATTAAAGGCACTGAAGCCTTATGGAATCACTGAAGTACAAGGAAACCTTGATGAAGTTTTGCCTGGTTTTGTTTTATATTAATGGGTTGTATAAATGAGACAACAGATGTAAACATATAAACTAAACTGTAATATATGCATGATATATTTTTTTATTCGACTAAAATAACTTCCAGATTATACTCCTCCAAATCACTTAGGTGGAACAGGAAAGGAACTTCCAGGTTCTGAGCCTGTTGATTTACCAGGGCATCGTTGATTACAAATCAAGCTTTTTATCTCCCCTTCACTTCTTTGGTGAGTGCATTTTTTTTTTTTTTTTTAATTAGCTCATCTTCCTTTGGTGCTCACTGCTCATGTCTGATGCTCATTGCAAATGAATGCTGATTACTGGAATAGAAGACTTCATTTAGTTCCTTAATTCCCACTCTTCTTTTCTGAGGTGGAATCTTGTTCTGTCACCCAGGCTGGAGTGCAGCGGGGCCATCTCGGCTCACTGAAACCTCCCGGGTTCAAGTGATTCTCCTGCCTCAGCCTCCGCCTCCTGAGTAGCTGGGACTATAGGTGCATAGGTGCATGCCACCACGCCTGGCGAATTTTTGTATTTTTAGTAGAGAATGGGGTTTCGCCATGTTGGCCAGGCTGGTCTCAAACTCCTGGCCTCAGGTGATTCACCTACCTAAGCCTCCCAAAATGTTGGGATTACAGGCATTAGCCACCATGCTCAGCCCCCAGTTCCTACTCTTCATCACCCTATATAAATGGAGTAATCCAATTCTTTCTCCCTCCATTGGGCCAAGAGGATTCAGACAATGCCTCTCTGGGTGGAATCACTTCCCAGGGTTTCCCTAGATGTGGCAAATAAAGCAGCACCAGCACAATGTGGAAAAATCCCACAGCAAAATGTATTCCGCCAGCCTTGGCTTTCAGAGGATAAGCCCATGGGATTTTCACATTCTTGGAAAATGGCAGAGTAGTTTCCTTGCATCAGAACCTTTAAAATCATATCTAGAATTTGATCCTTTGCGTTTTACTATCTACATTGCATCTAAGGAATTAGTCAATATAATAGAAGCATTTTGCTGAGTGTTGCTTACTAAGCTTCCAAGCAAATGGCTAAAATTCTCTCTGCTTTTCTCAATGCTTCCATCTCTTTCTCTGCCCCTTTTTTCCACATCAGCTAGTCCTCTCGGGCAAAATTGTCAGCCGTCTATTTCCCTGCCCATACAGCCTTTATTGAATGTTTGTGAGATCTGGATTAAGGTCTTACACAGCTAGCAAAGCCTTAATTATTTTTGCCTGTATTACTATATATTGAATCAATGTAACTTTTCAATAAAGGCGGTTCAATTCTGGACACTCCCCGATGACTTAGAGATATAGCAACCCTAGTAATTATCCCAGAGTGTAGGAGGTTTTTTTTTTTTTTTTTTTTTTTTCCTGGAGGGAGCTGGAAAAGGAATCAGACACATAGTGTGTAATATTATCTCGACAATCTATACTCATCAACTGGAAGCAGCTGATAAATGAGGTAGAAGGTGGAACCATGCTCTATGTGGAGCTCTCTGGCATGGAATTCTGAGTCACATTCTGAACTTCAATTTGTCTATTATATTTAAAACTCCTGACTCGGCACGGTGTCTGATGCCTGTAATCCCAGCTCTTTAGGAGGCTGAGGTGGGAGGATCACTTGAGCCCAGGAGTTCAAGACCAGTCTGAGCAACATGATGAAAACCCATCTCTGCAAAAAATACAAAACTTAGCCAGGCATGGTGGTACATGCCTATAGTCTCAGCTACTCAGGAGGCTGAGGTAAGAGAATCTCTTATTGAACCCAGGAGGTCAAGGCTGCAGTGAGCCATGATGGCACCACTGTGCTACAACCTGTGTGACAGAGTGAGACCCTCTCTCAAAAAGAAAAATCGTCAACCCCTTCCTTTTCTGCGTGCTCAGAGAGATACCAAAGGGGCTCATGGAACAGCAGAGGTGCTCAAAGAACAAGATCCCCTGAATGACAGAGAAGAACAGATTTGAGATATATCCCTTCCTCCTAGTCCGACATCCAGACTGGGTAGGCTTGATGTCTGCTAGGTGGGGACTCTGACTTTTTGCTTGTAGAAACCATAGCCAACAGACAGAAAGCAATTATCTCCCTTTGAACCAGGTGGAAAGTAGGTATGGGTATAGGGTAAAGATAAGAATTTCACTCTCATTGTCCCTGGAGACACAGTGGGCTGCCAGAGCACAAGCTCTGGAGTCCACATGTCTGGGTTCAAGTCATCAGACTCTTCCTGTGTGGCCTTGGGTAAACTGCTTAACTAAGAATGGTGATAATGGCATGACTTAGACATAATTCTTTTAAGGCACTCAGTTCGGCACCTTGCCTGTAGTGCTCAGGATAGTTAGCAAGCCTCAGAGTGTGTGGGCGGCACATGCCTTTGCAGGCAATGAAGTCTAGAGAAGGGCTCCTCCCCAGCCTGCGATCACCCAGGCACTCAGCCCACATTGTCACCCTCCCACTGTATCTCTAAAGAGATGGAGCTCCCTGCCCAGCAGGCCTCTGAGATCCCAGGATTTTTGTTGTTGTTGTTCAGTGACTGTGCATTAAATGTCAGCTTCATTTCCTCCCTCTCTGTACTCAAGGGAACTTCACAAAGCTCAGGTACTGAGCTTCCACGTACCTGGTCTAAAATGAGGAAGAGCAGAAGGTAAGGTCTCTGAGGGCATCCTTTGTGAACCCTCACCTCCTCTCAGCCAGGCTGTAGGAAATATCTGTTACTTTGCCTAGTTCTTTACACAAATTAGTCCACAACAACCTTTGGGGATAGCTGTCGATTTTCTATTTAACAGACTGGGAAACTGAGGCTCTGAGAGGATAAGGGCATGCACAGATTGACACAGCCTGGAAAGAGCTGAACTAGAACTCAACACACGACTGGTGAGATTGTGGCCGGCGCTCTTCCCGTGGCTAATCCTCTTTGAGGTTGTCCTCAGGATTCTGTTATTTCTCCATACCTCACTTGATATTTTCATAGTTTTTTTTTTGCAATTCCTTTTTAGGCTACTGCCCTAAATCGACAGGTGCTTCTATTTTTCTCCTCCCCAACCTACTCCAAAATTTTAAAAAGACTACATATGGGCTACGGTGTATACTGCTAAGGTAACTGGTACACCGAAATTTCAAATCACCACTAAAGAATTTATCCATGTAATCAAAAACCATCTGTACCCCCAAAATTAATTTCTTTTTTTAAAAAAACCTATAAAAACTTTTTTAAAAAAATCTTTTGGAGATGGGGTCTCACTATGTTGCACAGTCTGGGCTCAAGCAATCCTCCTGCCTCAGCCTCCCAAGTACCTGGGACTATAGGTGTGTGCCACCACACCTGGCCCCTTCTTCTTTTAAAGGTTCAAATCACCAGAGGAATGTGGAGGGAACTGAAGGATTCAAATGAGGTTTGGAACTTTGCAATGACTCTAGAAATGAAGCTAGAGCCTAGAGCCTGTGCCTACATGCAGCTCACCAATTCACTGCTCCTATAAACCTATCAGGAACGTGCCGCTCAGCCCGAGCACCCTGAGGGGTGGTGACCAGAAGTTTGTGTGGCTGGGGACCCTGGAGAGGGTCTTCTGTTTCTGCTGCAGCTGCCCTCAGAGGGAACCTCAGTAAGACCAAGCAAGGTTTCCTTCCAGCTCTTTGGGCTGACTCAAACCTGACTTCAGTAACACCACAGGAGCCGTGGGCATGCAGCAAGAGGTGGGGTGGGGATGACAGGCCCTGGAGTCTGTAAGAAACTTGTCCTGGCCACACCGTAGGCTGAGAGCTGGGTGAAACAGAAGATCTGAGACAACCAGCTCCACATTGAGAGAGGAGGTGGGGAAAGGGTGACAGGTGGAAGTCAAGTATCCTTTTTTCCTTTAAGTAAAACTGAACCTATGTGTTAAGTGGCCAGGAATGAGGAAAGGGCCGCATCCATCCTGTCTTCCTCCTGTCCGATGCGGAGGAAAGCCTGCACCCCTCCTTGGTCTGTCTCAATCTGCATTTTGCCAGTAAGACTTGCTGGGCCTCTACTCGGGTTAAGGTCAATGAATAAAACCAGAGAACTTAAAAAGAAACATCAACACTGAAGAGGTCACGGGGAAGAGGAAGGAAAGTACAGTGAATATTCAGCTATCATCTTCATTTCCCTGTCTGGAGATGAAGGCATCATGGAGAAACTCTGGGCACATCCCCTAAGGATGGGATGGAAACCACTGGTCTTTGATGAAAGACGGGGCAGGTGGAGACACTTAGATACAGGCTCAGCCTATTTCTCTATGAATTAGACATCTGGGTGAAAATCCCTGCCAAAAAAATCCATGAAATTTCCAGATGTTTCCAGCTACCCACACATTGGGTGGCATATAGACCCAGCTGCTTCATCTCGTTAGAAGTAAAATAATTTTCAACAATGTTTCTGAGTGCTGGGTTTTCCATTCTAGTTTTGACAGTTTCTCGGTCGAGTCACTTGACTTCCAGAAGCCACCACCATTTCCAGTGTTTGGATGGCTCAGGAACCTAACGTACCTCCCAGAGCTCTGCTCAGCCACAAGAGAATGACCTCTCACAGGTGTCCCAAAAGAATTAAGAACCCACACTCCACTCTATCATCAAACCACCAGGCAGATGCCATCCCAAGGACAATGCAGCCCATCCAAAGTTCCCCATAAAGCACTGCTGACCTCACAGCCTTTGATCCATGAGGGGTTAATGAAACCTCTTCCCTTCTTCGTTTTACCCAACCCTACTTGTTGTAAATATTTTCTTGCCAAGACACGAGAGGAGCAGCCTAAAAATAATGTGGGTTGCCGGTGAACCCCAGTCCTCAGCAGTTTCCAATTTGTTCTTTTGCTGTCGGCTGCCCCCAATCCATGATGAGATGATTTGATTTTCATATATTCATCACATTTGTGTTATATCATGCCATATTATATTTTAGAACATTGCTCAAAAATGGGTTTGATGAATGGATAATTTTTGTTCTTAGAAACGGTATGTCTTTTCTTTCTATTCTCGACAACCGCCTAATCAGGCACCTGCTATCAATTTGACTTGCATGTAACCAGAATTCTCGGAACTTGTTGGTTGCTCCTGCTGGCTCCTGTCCATGTGTGCCAAGAGGCCGTGACGGCAAGCGGATTAGGTAAGCAGAAAGCACCACGTGGTATCCCATGGGGTGACTGGGCATTTTCTGAGAGGTAGCAGAATGGCCCTGTGGACAGCATAGGGCTGGGAAGTCCAGACACTCCTCAATTGTATGTATGGCTCTACCATGGTTAATTCCATTGCCTGCAGAGTTTGCTGATGTCTGTTTTCCCCGATCTTGCTTTTTAAAAAACTTTTATTATTTTTTGAGATGGAGTGAGTTTTGCTCTTGTTGCCCAGGCTGGAGTGCAATGGCGTGATCTCAGCTCACTGCAACCTCCACCTCCCCGGTTCAAGTGATTCTCCTGCCTCAGCCTCTCAAGTAGCTAGGATTACAGGCACCCACAACCACACCCAGCTAATTTTTGTATTTTAAGTAGACACAGGGTTTTACCATGTTGGCCAGGCTGGTCTCAAACTCCTGACCTCCAAGTGATCCGCCTGCTTTAGCCTCCCAAAGTGCTGGGATTACAGGCATGAGCCACCATGCTTGGCTCCATCTTGCTTTTAGATGGAGCGCTTGCCTGACTGTATAAGCCATTTATATCCCATGATGAGAACAGCAAAGCATCTCTTTGCAGGTAAACAGCTGAGCTATACAACGATGTCCTGTTTGCTCTTACTTTGCCAACCCTATGGTACATTGTGTCATGTATAACCCCAAAATAGAACCCTCGCTTACCTCTGAATCCATTTCCATTGCCACTGGAACAGGCAGGTGAAGGGGAGCCTTGGGGCCTGATGACAGGGGCAAAGGCACTCTTCTGTTTGACAGCAGGAAAAACTGAAGAGGAAAATGGGAGGATGGAGGATGTGCTGGAAGACCCGACGGTGGGACTCGATGACATGACTGGAAAGCAAATGCACAATCCTCGTTTAGAAATTAAGATCTTCCTTCAGTTCACATATTTGGCACACCTTTATTGAGAAATTGTTAGTTTCCCGGCATTGTTCCAGATTGCAGGGATTGAAAAAAAAAAAAAAAAGTTGAATGTGACAACATTGCCACCCTGTCCAGTGGGAGGAACAGACACATAAAACAACTAATATGGTAATGATGCTATTAGAGGAAGGTACCCAATGCTTGGGAGAGTCGGGAAGGCCGCTTCAGGAAGTGATGTTGGAACAGGTCTTCATTCACAAGCAGCAGCTTGGCAAGAGAGAAGACTGAGGCCAAACATGCCTGAAAAATCATCAAATCTACCCAGCAATGGAAATCACTTTTACACCCTACAAAAAAAGTCCTATTTGGGAGCTATGTGCTTCCCCGGTAACTCCTAAGGCTCCAGAGGTTTGGTCTGTAGAGTTAACATCTTCTCTGAGAGTGCCATCTCTATGGGCCACGTGCTCATTAAATGTAAAAGTTTATTAACATTCAGAAAATTGTCTCCCTCTCCCGTACTTTCAGTGCTCTTGGGAAATATAGCTGCAAGTTGGCCTCCCCTGACATAATGTTTAGGAAAAAACACCATTGTTAGTGGTATTAACATTAAAATGACTTAAGGGAAGACTAAAGCCAAGTGTTGTAATTTCTAAGAAAAATAAAAGCAATTTACACGATGAAGTACCCCACCTCTTCATGTCAGATACTCCACCAAGTTACATCATGCAAGATGATAATTTTACCTTCTATGTTCAACTTAAGAAAGGGGTAAACTAGAGCACACAAGGGCAAAACTCTTAAATATAGCACCTGATAGTTTTAGGCACTTGTGTTAGTATAATTCCCAGATTCTGAACTGTCCGAGTCACATGACTTGATAAAAGTATTGTTGGAGCCTAATGACCAAACCCAGCAGTGCTATTTCTTGCTTTGTGTTTTCAATGTACCAATTGTCCTTCAAAGTAAATTTGAAAGTGAGGACATGGGCGAGACTTATGACTGAACAACTAAGTACAAGGTGAATTGAAGGTCAAATGTTCTGATGTCCATGGACGACTCCACCCTCATTTCCCCTCCCTCCCTATAAAAGTATATTTTGGGCCGAGTCCACCCAATTGTCTGTATAAACACTTAAATAGCACAAGTCCCATATGATGTCTTTTATCGCTGAACTGAAATCCAAAGACTTCAAAAGGAGAGCTTTCCCTAAAAACTTCTTATCCTTAAAGTAGTCTTGATTTAAGGAGCTATGCATCTGAGTACATCTGTCTTTCCTCAAATATGAATTAAAAGAAAAAAATTGGAAAGGAGAACAAAGTTCTGGAAGAATCTCATGTAATACTTGAATATGTAAATGAATAAAAACACTGTTGGGTTAATTCACATAAGAAGATAGGACACAGGGTTAAGCATGAGGAGTGGGTCTTATTCGTGGTTCTGAGCAAAATCTCTTCTAGCCTTGGGTTTGGCATTAGTGAAATAGAAAAACAAAAGACAAAAAAGTCCACAAGCAAAAAATCCCCAACTTTTCATTTTCTCTAAGGTACAGAATTAGGGGCCAAAGAAAAGCTGGGACTTAGGGGGCCCGTATTCTACCACGGTCTCCCAAATGGTATCTACAGCAGCAGAACCTCCTCTCAGACATCATCATTGAAGAGGTTTGTATAATGTGAATTAGGCATTCACACATACTCCATTCCATTTATATTCAGCAAGTGACTCACTAGTACAGATAATTATTTTCTAATAACAGATTTCAACAGAAAGTAGGGCCCATTAGATCAAAAATGGTTCCCTTGCAGTGGCAGCGGAAACACCTCAAGCTTTACTAAGTGACGTGGAGGAATTGTTGCAGAGTTGAGTAAGCACATGTCCGTTTTAAATAGTTCTTACAATTTTGTAAAAATGCCAAAATGCATTCAAATGAATTTAAAATTCAGTGCAACTATAATAAAAATACTGAAAGGAATTTTAATTTGTGCATTTCAGCAAACACAATTACTATGTTTATCTGTTTCAAAAAACAATAACGCTGTAAAAGACAGGAAGTTTTGTTTAAAAACTTTTTTTAAGTAGTAAGAGGCACTTATCTTCATCAGTGAAATCAGCATTGTACTAGCACAGAAATAGGCAGACAAATCTTTACAGCAAAACAGAGTTCAGAAACAGACCTGGGTATAGACGGGAATTAATACTTAATAAAGGTGACATTTCATATTAGTAGGAAAATAAATGCATAGAAAAATACACTAACCATTTGAACACTAAGTTTAGAGTACTTTCTCCTGTTGAACACCAAAATAAATCTAAGTAGATTAAAGAGTTATTTTTAAAAGCAAAATTGTAACAGTGCTAGTGAAGCTATTAGGATGGTTAGAAGTTTACAAGATAGATTTGCCGCATAATGAAAAACTTCTGCAACAAACACAAAAAGGCAAATGACGGATTAAGAAAAATATTTGCAATACTTATTTAGATATGCTTATATCCTCAATAGCTCATAAGTTTTCCTAATTGGAAAAAGAAAAACACCCCAAGAGAAAAATAAGCAAGGGACACAAAAAAAGAAAATCAGGAATAAAAATGACCAAGAGAGACTCATATAGAAACAATCAAACTGATTCGTAATAAAATGCTAATTAAAACGGTAACAAGATCTTATTTTCCACTAAATAGAAAAAGAAAAAATTAACAGGGCGGGGAAACATATAATATTCTTTCTTTTCTGAGGGAAGAATTAACCTCTCTGGAGGGTCTTTGGCAATATATATCAAAGTATTTTAAAATGTGCACATCCTTTGACCCACTAATTTAATCTCTAGAAATTAATCCCAAGGAGATAGTCATGACTGTGCCAAAAATAATAGGTCCAAGGGCATTTTTATAATAATGAAAAATTGAAAAATAACTTAAGTGTCCTGCAGTAGGGTACATTGTATTTAGTATACAATAGAATGCTATGCCAATATTAAAACTAGTGCTGTAGAATATTTAATCCCATGGAAATATACACCTCTTCAGATGAAAAAAACAAATTGCATAACACATATTAAGCCCCCTTTAATTTTTAGAAATGCAAATAGCAGCAACAGTCTAGAAGGACGTGATATACACCCAAAATTTTAGCAATGGTATCTCTGGCTGATGGGATTATGAATATCCTTAAATGTAGTGCTTTCACTTGACCATATCGTCAAAATTTTCTACAACAAACTTGTGTTACTTTTAATACATGGTAGGAGAAACCAGTAAAGGTTATTACATTTTAAAAAGGGAAAATCTCGATTTCTTTGGGAAGAAATAAATAATACAATCCTTAGCAATAGACATATTAGCATTTACAAATAATTTTAACTTTTCTCTTTCATTTAAGGCTGTACTGCCTATAAACAAAGTTGTCTGTTACTCTAATAACAACCCCACCTATTAAAAAAAAAAAAAAAAAAGCAAGAGATGAATAAATCCTCACATTCCTGGGAAACACCTGATGATTGTAGTCAACTTTTAAAAGCAAACACCACTCCTCATATCTCTGTTCCCTATTCTTACGATCTGGGTCTGCATCGCTGAAGGATTTTATGGCGCCCAGCTTCATATCTGTGACTTTGGTAATTTTACTGCTTTCCTTCCACCCTCTCTTTCATTGATCTTATGGCAGAATCTCATTAGTTGTACATCAGAGCAGACACTGCAATTTTCAAAATGTATCTATCCATGACTGGAAGACTATCCTTTAAAAATTAACAATGGTTCCCTCCGCGTAGACACAGAATGTGCCATTTTTCTTTCCTCCTTTTTACCTATACGTGCTTTTCAAGTTGTCTGTAATGAGAATACTATTATTTTAATAGGCTTTTGTTTTTCTTTTCTGAAGAAGTAGAAATGTATCAGAATTCAAAGAGGTTGTTCTTATGGTGGGAGTATGCGTTCTTTTAAAAACTATTTTTATACGTTCTACATTTTCTGTAGTAATCATTTAATATTTTACAATAGAGAATGTCTTAATATTTGTTTTTGAAACTATAAAACAATTGAACCCCGGAGCATGGTCTAAGGCTCTGAACATAATGTAGGAATCTATGAGGACAGGTTGGATTCTTGCCTGTATGGATTCTGTCCCAAACTCTGCATAGGCTTGGTGGCTATTCGGCTTTGGAAGAAGTGGTCCCTATGGGTGTTACAGGCTTATTAAATAGACAATCTTTTGGGACTGCAGAGAGAACCACTTTAGGAAAGTTGATTGCATGTCCTTCCAATTGAGAATTTCTCTGGACATCTATCTCTCTATGGATAGGGGCCAAAGTAAAGACAAGTACGTCTGGCCCAGAAATCTCTGTGAACATGGGGAGTTAAGGAAAAACCACTTTTCTTTGTAAAAGGATTGATTGGCTTGCATAGTCTCAGCTGGAACTCACCGGGCACATATCCTCCTTTGCATTGAGCCATTGCATTTTTTGGAGCTAAGGGGTCTGTCAGCATTTCATTATAACCCCCTATTGTCAGGGGTTTAGAATTCAGCCATAAAAACTTGCACTGAGCTGGAACTTGGCACACTGCTACTGCCAGGAAGTGAAGTTTGTATGTAAAATTGAAAAAACATCTGTTTGGCCATTTTTGAAGTAGTGTGAGAGCAAAAACAGTAAAGATGCAGGTTTCTGATACTCTGCATTGGCTGTCATGCAAGTTAAATGTGACCAAGAAGCTTGGCTCTATTTCTATCTTAGAGTCTCTGGCAAATATTTGCTCCATGGCATGGCCCAGCCACATCAGATGCATTTTTAAAAAATCATAGAATTGTGTTTTCAGACACAAGCAACTGAATTGACAAAATGTTTTCCCTGGGGCTTTTCTTTTTTTTGTATTTCCCAGAGAAGTAAAGACTTGGCTGGCTAGAAATACAGGTCAGGTGCTATTGTAATGAACTCCACTGGGTAGTCAGTCTTTGTGGAGTAGGGGAATTTGATTGTAATGAATGCACTGTTTGGAATTTCATTCCTAGCCTGCAACTCATTCAGACCCTCCCTCCAAAAGTGAAGGTGCAAACCATCACACCAGATTCAATAGGTACAGGGAGGAGGTCTTCTCCAGTCTCTCCTTCTCTCTCCCAGTTGGGCACGTTGCCTTCCTCTTTTCCCTGCTCTATGTCTACCACTTCATTTTAATGGGTAATTTGAAGATTTGGGATGTTATTAGTTTTCTGGTGGCAGTGAGCTTGGGTGATCATGAAAGAACAGAAGGAAGTCGTTCTGGTGGGAGTGGGAAGGGTTTCTCTCTACCAAATGAATTATTTAGGAAAAAATATTAAGCAATTAACACCTAACTGTGCATTTTCATTCCTCTTTTTTTTCTTTCTTCTCCATCCTCTTCACTACCACACTACATACTGTATTATAAAACTGATCATTTTTTATGTACAAAAACAAGTATGAGTCAACCTTATTCATACCTACATAAATTATGACTGAATGATGTGAAATTGCCACTTCTATAAATCAAAAATGGTCAAATAGAGGGAATTTCATATGGTTTAACCTAATATTACACTATAAATACATTAAATAATTCTTACATTATTAATTTTAAAACGTGGTATTCTGAGTGTGATGATATATTCTAGTCCCCTTTTTACTACTTACTATGAATTTTCAAGTCATTTAATAATTCTTCATCTCTTACAAGGGATAATGATAAAAATGATAGTATCCATGTCACAAGGTTGTTTTAAGGCTCTGACTGGACTCTAGATGTCAACATGCTTTTTAAGCGGTAAAGCGGAATGTAATTGTTAATTCATCTTATTATTGTCACTGTTATAACATTGTTTACACAATGGATCGCTTGCCACTGCATTATTTGTAGGGGTTGTTAAAGATGTGATCTCTTTACCACACCAGACACCTTCTCCAGGAGAAAGCAAGGGAGAGACCTCTCCAACATCTCAGGAACAGAAATTGCCACCTTTCTTCTGAGCTACTTTAAAAAATAACGTGTGGACATAAAATCTTACAACAAATAGTGTTTCTCTCTTTGCTTTAGCCTCTTGTAAACTCAGAACGAAGTAAACAGACCAGATGGTATTCATGCTGGCCCTGGCATTTTCTAATTTGCTGAACCATATTTGTTTCTTTTAGCTCAGTTTCTTGTTAGATCCTGTTTTATACTTTCATACCACCTATTTGACTGCAATAATTCCCCCAAACACTTTTTGGACCAAGATAAGGTAGAAACAAATCAAGCAATCATTTATTTCTCCAGACTAACTGTTATCTAATGAACTTGGGCCACCTGACAAGGCACAACATAGAACTCATGTCTTTGCAGTAACAAGATTTTCATCATACTAGGAGAACTGACCTCTACTACCGTTAGCTGCTTGGTACTATGTCTTTATCCTGCCGTGTAGTGTAGAGTGTATACATCGAACTGATAATCCAGAAATAGCTCATAGGTGTGTCTCCCCAGGGAACCCAAAGTCCAAAGACTGTGAAAGGCAGTTTCTGTGACATGTCAATGTGACATGGCTATGTGCTGCCCTTGACATGTCCTTGCTCTTGGCACAAGGGAACCACGTGGGGTAAAAAGAGGGCAAGGTGCAGAGAATTGCAACAAGACCCAGCATTTCAAGAACACTCTACTCAATCACTTCAGCCTCTCCATGTCATCTTGTCCCCTGGCCTAAAGTATTCCCTAGGTAGGTTTGAAAAATGCACTCTCTCAGGCTCCTGGGACCATTGTGTAACTTCCCGGCATACCTCCCAAAGCAACCCAAATGGGGTTTTCACAACTTCCCAGAGCAGGGACTTTGCTGCTAGACCACAGATGAAGACGAAGAAGTTCTGTCTCAATATAATCACATGATTGCACGCAGTCAACTTCCACCTCTCTGGAGGTACTGAAGGGAGGGGAAAACCAGGTTGCAAAGTCAAAAAGAAGCATGGTGCGATATACAAAATAACTCAAAGTCATCAGGACTATGCCTAAATTATTACCCTGCTCTACTCTAGCTATGTGATCTTGATGAAGTCAGAAAACTGCAGCCAAGCCAACTTCCTTGTCTATAACATGAAGATAAAGTTCTTATCAGGAAGTTCTTATGGGGATTAAATATTACATCTGAAAGTGCCTAAGAGTACACATATTGTTAACAGAAATGGAATCTTAATTCCTTGCTCCCACTTAACACAGGCCACACATGCTCTTTCTCTACAAAAAGGGAATTGTTTCAATCCTTTTCTTTCCCCAAAAGGCCTTGAGTAGCCACGTGAGCCAAAGTCCAGCTAAGGGAAAAGAACGAAAGACAGGAAGGACGCTTAATCAGGAAACTAGGCTGCTCCCCGACGACTTAGGAAGATTTACAAATGCAACTTTCTCCCAAAATGTTGAATAGTAAAACCCAGAGACCAAAAAGCATGGAGAGCTGGAGGTATAGAGAGGTCACTTACTTCCATAAGGAGAGCCGGTGGGTGAGCCATTTAGAAATCCTGGTGATCCTGGAACACCCAGGTTGGCCATGGGGACGTTGCTGTAACCATTCATACTGTTGCTGGAGGTACTGTAATTAGACTGTTGAGGCGTGGAGCTGGAAGAGTATCCCCGCGGAGAGATGCTGCTTGTGTTGCGGATGTACCCTTGGCAACAAAGAAAAATTCCAGGTAAATCAACAGGCGTGCACGGTCAGGCCACATGTGGCTAGCACAGGTCTGCGTTGGCCCCAGGCTATAGAATGCCACCAGGTGCCCTGGGCAGTTGTGGGAAGTGTGCAGTCCATCTTCAGTTTTTGTTTGTTTGGTTGGGTTTTTTTTGTTTGTTTGTTTTTGAGATAGAGTCTTACTCTGTCACCCAGACTGGAGTACAGTAGCGCCATCTCAGCTCACTGCAACCTCTACTGCCCAGATTCAAGTGATTCTCCTGCCTCAGCCTCCTGAGTAGCTGGGATTACAGGCAACCTCCCATCGCGCCCAGCTAATTTTTGTATTTTTAGTAAAGACAGGGTTTCACCATGTTGGCCAACCTGCTCTTGAACTCCTGACCTCATGATCCACCTGCCTTGGCCTCCCAAAGTGCTGGGATTACAGGTGTGAGCCAGTGTGCCCGGCCCATCTTCAGCCTTTTATACCTTCCTCTCTCTTCCCCATCTATGCAAGGCCATGCCCTTGCTACTCCCCTTCATTCAAACCTGCACTCAGCACCTTCAGCTCACACCAAGGAGCAAATGGCTAATGGCAGTGTGGAGTTCCCTCTCCCAAATCATACTTCATATGACACTGGAGTCCAATGAGATATGATTGGTGTCACTGAGAAAAGCATTCTGTGGTCAAGTTAGGCTGGGTAGATGTTATGCACTATAGCCATTTCTTGATTATTCATATACAGAAGGCCTAGAGAATAAACAAACTGGTTTAACTTTGCTAGCTTAAGTGTTTACCAAATTTAACATGCCATAGCATCTTTTGGTGAGGCCTGGAGGGGAAAGGTGTCTTAACCTGTCTGGGGCCACTTGTATTCTATGGAACACAGTTTTAGAAATGTTAGTTCAAAGTTGTTGCCATGCCCTAGGTGCAAGTGGGGGTCAATTTCATTCAAAAAGTGTTGATGAGTTCCCCTAAAATGTGCTATTCTTTGACCTAGGACTTTGGGGCATCAGCAGTGAGTGTGGGGGACCCAGCCTATGCCTGGAACAGGGGAAGGAGTGAGAAACCACAGCTCAGAAACGTCTCATGTGTCCTGGAATAAACCACTTTGGATTACTGTCTCTCAAACTATTTAGGAAACAATCCAAATTTGTTACCAAATGAAAAACAATTTGACATTTGGTCTATGGGCCTCATGTCTACAAAAACAAAAGTAATAATATGCCCTGTCTTTTTTTTTTTTTTTTTTTTTCTTTTGAGACAGGATCTCACTCCGTTGCCCTGGGTGGAGTGCAGTGGAAGTCATGGCTCACCACAGCTTCAACTTCCTGGACTCAATCTATCCTCCCACCTCAGCCTCCCAAATAGCAGGGACTACAGGTGAGCACTATCACACCTGCCTAATTTTCGTATTTTTTGTAGACACAGGGTTTCACCATGCTGCCCAGGCTAGACTCAAACTCCTGAGCTCAAGCAGTCTGCCCATCTCAGCCTCCTAAACTGCTGGGATTAGAAGTGTGAGCCACCACACCCGGCTCACCTACTCTTTTGTAAGAACTCACCCTGGGCAAAAAAATGAGGAATTCTCTTCCAATAAATAAAATTAGAAAAAAAAACTCTCCCAATGTTAAGGATCTCATTAGGAACGTTTACTCCTTTTAAAAATGATTTGTGACAGATTCCGACTTAGCACTTCAATAATCAATCTCAATGCAAAGATCTTTGCATGGTCTGCTTTACATGTAAAAGCACAGTTGTCTTTATATTTGTTTGTTGTTATATATATGAGATCATACAAAATAGAAGTTACCAAATAAAACCAAGCCATTCACTCTTGGCTACCAGGAAGAGAAATTTGGGTTATCATAAATGATAATGGCAATAATCAGCTTCTTTCCAGTATTCAATCTGATTATCACAATAACAGAAGCATAAATTTCTTTTCAATTAATACCTGTAAACCTATTTTCTATAAGCCCAAACCTTTCCAAATTGATAATACTCAATCCTCTTTTTTTTTTTTTTTTTTTGAGACAGGGTCTCGCTCTGTTGCCCAGGCTGGAGTGCACTGTCACACTGCACATGTACTCACATGCAGCCTCGGCTCATGTGCAGTGTGCCAGCTCACCCCACTACTCACCGCAGCCTCGACTTCCCAGGCTCACGTGATCCTCCCACATAGCTGGGACTACAGCTGCCCACCACACCTGACTATTTTTTATAGAGATGGGTTTTCACTATGTTGCCCAGGCTGGTCTCAAACTCCAGGGCTCAAGCAATCTACCTGCCTCAGCCTCCCAAAGTGCAGGGATTACAGATGTGAGCCACTACACCCGGTAGTAATACTCAATCTTCTCCTTAAATATTTCCAGACATTCTACCTGGTACCTAAGAAGCTCAAACTCTAATAATGTACCATCTATAATCTTGAAATAACGCAATCTATGATTGTATTGCCTATCTGCGGACGCACTCTGTTGGACCATTATGACTCAACCTCTGACTCCATCTACTCCAGCAGAACTTTTAAAATTAGACATATTTGGATTTTGACTCTAAGAAAGGTGGTACCTTGATTATTTCCTTGTGTTGACTCTGAGATGCTGACCCCAAGCTGGCTGCCATAGGAGTTGATTCCCATCATGCCACTGTGTGCTGGGGAGCTGGAGAGGGCTGGAAGCTGGCTGGGATTCCTGGGGACGCTGTAAAGGGCTTCAGCAATGTCTGCGGCTCGCTTCAAAATGATGTCCTACAAAACAGCAGATTAATGTGAGCATTCTATCCAGCATAAAGTGCAAAACTCACGAAAAGGTAGGATGTGAGTGTCTCACCTGGTTATTGTGTGGTGTGCCATAAAGAGCTTCCACTAGATCTGCAGCTCTTTTCAACAGCATTTCCTGGAAAACAAGTGAGGGTGGGGCATTGTCAAAGGCAAAATGCAAAATGGCAAACAAAAGAAAATTATAGGCAAAAATGAGAAATCCACACATCCCTCCCAAAATGTAAGTAATTAGTCAAGAGGTCCTATATTTGGTTTGACAAGTAAAATACAATTATACATATAAGTCTCTCTATAAATACCTATCTATCTGAAATTTGCCTCTATAAAATGGCTCTATAAATGATTGTGTTACCAAAACAAAAACCAACCCAATTGAGAGTGAAGTTGATTAAAATTAATAATGTCGTGGAAGTTCTACTAAATGCTACTTTCAGCCCATTCTGTTTTAAAAATCTGGGTCTTTAATTAACCAAATATTCTTAAAATGATTGATGGATTTGAGTTTAGCTCCTTGCCAAGGAGTTGTCCAGAGTACTGAAATGATCTTGGCAATGCCTTCTGCAAAATTTTATTCTAATAAAGATGAATTCTTTCAATAATATTTCCCCCTGTACATTTTAACCAGAGAGAATTAGTAATCACGAATCCCTTTCCTCTCATTTTGCCTTTTCCACCTCCTGTTTTTTACAGCCTTTTAAATTGCTATTAACCTACTTTCCAGATATCATCTAATTTAATGGTGGGGCTAGGGATTTTTCCAGGAGGAAAATAAAGGTGTGATGTAGAAGCAACTGTGGTGCTTAAATTTTATTCACAGTATGGAAAAGAGAACACGGCATTTTATAATTTGTATGTTTAAAGTGCAAATATAAATGTGAAAATTTAATAGTTTCTCATCAGCTAAATGACAACTAATAAATTGATGTACTTTTTAAATAAAGCCAACAACATGGGCCAAATTCATAAAGTAATTTTCATAAGGAAGTTCACTTGAAGGTGATGTATTTCATAGTAATTTTATACAGAAGCAATTTTCTCCTCATTAGATACCTACGTACATAGTAGGCCCTCAATGATTAATACTGATTGGGGATTAATGGGTCCCTGAAATTATGGGTAAATAGAAACATTTAAATACAAAGGAGTGGAAGCTAATACTTTTTTTTTTTTTTTTTTTTT